TAATAAACTTGCTACACCAGCAAGAAATGTTTTTTCTGTAGTCCTGCATGGATAAGCCAATTTTTGAAATACTTCTACATGATATACTACGATGGCCAAAAAATATTGGAAATGATTTATTTAAACTGCACAAATGCAGGAGGACTCTATCATCAATTTTTTCATCATTTGGTATGGCTTTCATTGATATCTAGCAGCAATCCATATGTCATAGTTTGTTTTTGTTTCCAAATAAATGCTTGTTTTTTGTGTAAAGAATTTTTGCACCAGCAATTTTTCAAAATTTTATGTGTAATTGAACAAAAAACATGCATTAAATTTTGTTTTCACAACAGAATTACTGCTAAAGAAAGTTGGAAATGTTGCAAAAGCCTTTGGTCTATCAAAAACGAGATTTTTAGTGGTACAAGATGTTCAACTTACACTTTAGTCAAGATGTTTACTAAAGTGTAATTTTTAATAAATCAGTATTTGAAAAAAGCAAAAATGTTTGAAAAATTACACCACCTTAATAACTACAAAGCAGACAAGTCACTATATTGATTTTTATTACTTGCTTTCATAATCCATTGTATTCTTCATTATATGATGACCATGCTAAATTACAGTATTGGGAGGTACAATATTGGGATGCCAACAAGTACCTCCTAATAGTGGACATCTCTAAGTACCGGACAAACCACTCAGTTCTGATAGTGTCTGCTATTCAGAGGTTACAAGTTTCCAGCCTACCTAAGACAGAAAACTTGTTTAAGCTGGAAAGTTTATAGTGTTCCTGTGTAATTCTGGCTTTATTGTATTATCTGAAACAGTTATTAAACTAATTTTATACAGATATCTAAGGTGACATTAGTAATTAAATGTATATAATGCCTTTAGTATTTGATAAGACTAGAATATAAATCAACAAAAAATGATTTTTTTTTTCTTCATAACAATAGCTTTCATGTTTTTTAAGAATTGGTCGGTGTTTGTGATACTATACTCAGAGACAGGTAATTTATTTAACTCTTTTTATTGCTACTTCAAGGTTATATAGCAAATATTTTTGAATATCTATCAAAGGACGATAAGTAACAGGGTTTTTGTGTGTTTTTACTCTAAAACTTATTTTCGGAATTCTATTGCCAAAACATTTAAAATTTTTAGTAGTGTTATTATCTATGTAATTAAGTTTTGAAAAATTGTTTATAAGTTTTATAACTTGTTTTTTTAAACTATTCACAGGGTTATCAACAAGTAATGTATAATTTCCATTCTTTAAGATATCTAATAATATATTATTATAATTATGTTTGGTCAAGACAATTGTTTGTTTTGCTTTATCAGCCTTTGTTAGTATTAGATTATTATTTTCTAAAAATTCTTTAGTCTTATTTATTCTATTTTTAAAATTTAAAATTTTATTTTTCTCTTTTTTCTTTATTTTTTATTTTAATGATGATGATTTATTATTAAATATATACAAGAATTTAAAAAAATTTAAATTTGATATATTTAATTCTCCATTTGATGATAGAAGTATTTTCTATATTGATGCTATTACTGGATTGCCAAAACAATGCATTACACATTACACACTATCATGACATTAAAAACATTAGACAAACTGAATTAACAGAAACATAGTTTGAACACTAGATTAATCTTTCACTAAGTTTTATTTTACTAATTTGTTTAATGGTCTGCAGTTAGTTTTTATAATAAACCTGTATAAATAAGTTCAGAATTGTTATCTAATTCTGAATATAGCATAATGTGGGCAGTGATTATTTTATCGTTGCTTAAAATGATAATCTACTGTTTTCTAATTTCATTTTTATGCTTTTGAATTGATTTGGTTGTAAGCAGTTTTTCTATGCAATTATATTAAGTATTTAAATGTATTATAAAATGTTGATAATTTTTCAATATTTAAAATATAATATTAACCTTAAAACAGAGGTTCTCTACTAATTTTTATCACAGAACCCTTTTCACCTTAATAAAAAATGTTGAAACCCTAATACCCCATTTGCAGTGAGCATTTCAATCTAGATTGTGACCAAGGTCAGTGACTATGCCTTGGTGCGTCCTCTCTCGACTGTTTCAATCACGACTGAAATGAAGTTCAATTGCGATCGACTTGAGAGTTTTTGAAACTAGATCCAGTCATAAGAGATCCCACAATCCCACGCGTGCCAGAAAATACAAAATGGCTGCAGAACGTGTTGGGCTATCAACAGAGAAATAAAAAAGATATTGTATTTGGAGAGACAATGACATCTGTCTATTATTAGCTATATGGCAAGAAAAAGTACTGTATTTATTTCTAACCAAAACTTCCATTTTGTTTGTTCGTGTTCATGACTTACCGCATAGTTATGTCAGTTTTATCATCATGTGTAATAGCCGGGTTCTTCTCAAGCGGACTGCCTGTGCGAACAATATGACATTTGACTGGTAACAGTTGCAATCCAGATTGTAGGTAAATTGAGATTGAAGTGAGTCGAGGATCGTGCGCAAACGTAGTATAACAATAACAAATGTCGGAACCCTGCAGATAAGTTATCAATACTAGGCTACTTTACATCAAAACCAAAACTGAAAGTAAAACTACAATTAAATATAATCAAAATTAATTATTTTGATTTGATTCAGATGAAACCGTGTTGTTGTTATTAAGCTGTTTCTTTGCAGACACACTAAGGTGACATATATCAACACTTGGCAACTTATTGACTATTTATTCAGTTGCGAATATTTATTCAGTTGCAAATATTAACCACAGGTAAAAACAAATATTGTTAAGATATGTTGTAATTGTCAATCTATTTAATTGAATTTTGTGTAAATTATAAGAATAGCCATATTTAAAAGCCCAGTAGTCAAGTTGTTATCTACGACCCTGTTTGTTCTCCAATTGATGTGCGAATTGTGATGTTTATATAAACTGTAAGTATTACAAATATTAATTAGTGGTTTGTACAATCTAATGTCATAGCTTTAAATAGGTTCTATGTGAATTGAAAGTCCAAATAATATAACTAAGATGACTCAGTGAAACTTGTTCGGAAAAAGAGTGTCAACAGTTATTGTATGAGTTTAGGTGCAATATACGAATACTGGCTACAGGTAAAGCAAATATTGTTAAAATATGTTGTAATTTTTAAATTTACTTATTTGAATTTTTTGCATAAAGTATAAGAATACCATATTCGAAAACCAGTAGCAAAAAATGATTATCGTCGACCTTGTTTGTTCTCCAAGTTGTATATGAAATATGAAATTGTCCATCCTGTACGACATATGTACAATAGTGGTTTGTGTTTTATGGTATGTTTTTAAAAAAATTTTTTAAAAAAACAGTTTATCTACTCGCGTATGTTTGTACAAATTTTCTCATGTTTTATTTTTTATGTCTAGTTGGCTGAAGAGGGGCCAATGCCCGAAACGCGTAATGTAAAAGGCGTCCCAACTGAATAAATAGTCAATAAGTTGCCAAGTGTTGATATATGTCACCTTAGTGTGTCTGCAAACAAAATTAATTAATTAAAATTGAAATCAACTTAATTGAAAATTAAAACAATGTTTTTAAAAACCATTTAAAGTTGTTTTGAAATTTTCAAATTGTAAATCAAATTTGTTTTTAAATTTGTTATTTGTGTGCACTGGTGGCAGAACATTTTGCTTTAATAAATATATATGTATACTTATGCGTATACAGATTTAACAATTGTATTGTATTTTTATTTATATGTTGGATCCTCCTTAAGGTTATGATTTTTTAAATGATTTTCTAGCTTTAGTTTATGTTTTACTGTTTTTATGGTTTTGATTACCTTGTCAAACATTATATCAGGGATGGGCAACCTTTTCCTATTTGAAAACTTTTGAACTGACACAGGCCACATATAAGAGAAAAGGGGGGAAAAAATGTTGGTAAATCACAATTATTTATTCACATATAATTATAAATTAGTATAGGTATAGTTAATTTAGCTTCTGGAACTGATGTAAATGTAATATATTGGAAATATTTGGTTAAATATTAGTCACTGCTACTTTTAAATTAGTTTCAATGTGTCTGTTAGCCAGTTTCTTGTTTTAATTTTTACTAAATTCATTGTGGAAAAACTATTCACATACATAAGTTGTAGAAAATAACATTTGAATTTTTGCTGCATACTTCCTTAATTAAACTGGGAAATTAATATATTTATTCATATTTTATGCGACACAGGCCACGGGTTGCCCTAACCTGCATTATATAATGATTTTAGTTTGTTCAGTTACCGATAAATCAGTCCCCACTGTTTATAAAACTATAAATAACTTTAGCACATGTATAATATTGGATCAAGTTCTTATATGATGATACGAAGACTCAATTTGAGACTAGAACAATTACACCTCACATCCCAAATCTGCATTGGCACATTTATACATCACTAGACTCAGTGGATTTTATTGGAACCTCAAATTTTTATTGGTGGAACCCTAGGGTTCCACAGAACACAAGTTGGGACCCCCTGATGTAAAGCATTCTTAACTGTTTCATTAATTATTATAATGTTGAAAATAGTTTGTACATAATATTTTTAAGACTACATTACAACTTAAATGTTTTTATTTTATAATAAAACTGTTTAAGATTTTTTGTTTGTCATAACACCAGAAGCTGTATTATTAAGTGAAGTTAAATAATTCCTGATTTTATATTTCCAGATTAATCAGTTATTATTTTAATAATTTTAAAATTTTAATTAATAGTTCTACTAGAAATTAACTAAAATGAGATTTTTTAGAATTTGTAAAGAAAAAGAAATGTACATGTTGTTACAATATTCAGAAATTATAATTATTCCAAGTTTAATATTTTGTTAAATTATTAGCCAACAATCCAGTATTGTTTTTATTTGATTATTTAGAATTATTTTGCAATCATATAAAAATATTTTTCATAATTATAATGAAATTTAGAAAAATTAGTAAATGCAGTACAGTAGACCCCCCTATAACGCTTAGATACGTTCCACGCTAACCGAAAATTACGTTGTAGGAATGATTAAATACATGAGCCAATCGCAGCCCGATAGGTGGGAACTTTACGGACTAAGGCTGTTCGAAAGGTTTTCTTCTATAAAATTAACCGATTCTAGACTAATTCCACTCAACATTTCCAAAACACGTATAATTTTTTGGGAATAATCTGTATAAACTATGCTATAAACAAAAAATTAT